CATGCTAGGAGCCATACGCACACTGAGATCAGATCCCCACCATGCTAGGAGCTGTACGCACACACAGATCAAATCCCCCCTGTGCTAGGAGCTGTACGCACACAGAGATCAGATCCCAGCCATGCTAGGAGCTGTACGCACACAGAGATCAGATCCCCACTATGCTAGGAGCTGTACGCACACTGAGATCAGATCCCCACCGTGCTAGGAGCTGTACACACACAGAGATCAGATCCCCACTGTGCTAGGAGCTGAACGCACACAGAGATCCGATCCCCACCGTGCTAGGAGCTGTATGCACACACAAGGGCAGTCTACACTGCTATTTTAATCCAAGTTAGCGAAGCCAAGTTCCGAACCCACCTTGGCTTTGCAGTGAAGCCCTATCCTCTGAGCAAAAAGCTGCCCAGGAGGTGCGCTGACACTCTACATGGACACGACAGAGGGGAAGTGATTTCTCCAAAGCGGCTGAGCTGGTCAGCGATAGAGGGGGGCCGAGAACCCAGCGTTAGGCCAGGACCCTGCCGGGTGGCGCACCCCAATTCCCCTGGGCGAGGCACTCTCTGTCCGTGTGTCTCCTGATGCAGCCTGGCTGGGTGGAGGGTGGAAATTTGAGGAAAACCTGGAAGATTCCAGCAGAGCTTTCCTGACAAGTGTCCTCCACACTCATGGTGCCAAAGGTCCCCAGAACGTTGCCCAAGCCAGCCTGAGCTAAAAGGCTCCTAAGTGCCACCCAGAGTAGGGTACCCATGCCAGGGCTCTCTCTGAGATCAGGGTGCCAGGGAGCACCCACCCAATGGGTCAGTTTCAAGCGGCTATCCCTGGATTACTACAACCCCCAGCATGTTTGGCTTGGGGTCCTGCCTCCCCGGCTCTCCGCCATGGCACCCAGAGGAGGTCCGCGCCCAGGGTTGTGCGTGGATGGGCGGCGTGGGAGCGGGCAGGGGCCGTGGAGGACCCAAGCTGGAACGGAGTCAAGCGGAAGATGCTGACAGGGCAGGATCGCAGAGGGTGGGAGGAAGGGATGGAGGAGCTGGAAATGGGACCTTCCCTTGAAGTTAGATCTGGGGGGCAGGTTATGGGGTGGATCCCTCATCCTGGAGGGGACCCCACGCAGCCTGAGCGGAGCTAGAAGGATGGCGGGGGACACACCAAGCAGGCATGTCGTTCCCAGGCTTTGCAGGTGACGGGCGTGCTGGGGAGGCCGGGTGGTGGCAGGCAGACGGCCGCGCTGGCAGATTAATTAGCACTGTCCCGGGCTTCACGGGGAAGAGTTTTCACGCTTCGTTTCTCCTGCGACAGCCTGCGGGGCTCGATTAGAGGCTGGAGTAAGCGTGAGAGGCGAGAGGGGTGGGGAGAGCGCGGCGCCCGCCACTGTGGTACCCAGCTCGCGGGATCTGCAGGCTGCTGGAGGGGGCGGGGGTGCCGGGAGCCGCACAGGGCAGGCGGGGCTGGGGGAAGCTGTGGTGCATGGGGATAGACACAGAGATGTGTACACTCGGGATTAGACAGCTAGACAGAGAAAAAGCTGAGGCAGGCAGATGCATGGCCTGGTATTTACTCATCTAGAAAACTCTCTTTCCAATCCCAACGCATGGCCTCTTCTCCTGCCATGGGGATTTCCTGCTCTCAGCCTGGTACCCGGCAGCTTCCCCTTTCCCCATAGCCGACTGGGCATGGCCCTGGCAGGGCACCTCTGGCAGGAGGACAACCCTGTCCCCCAGGGGTTCTGCTCCTCTCTGCAGCATGGGGCACGGGTCACTTGCTGGAGGATTCTCTGTACCTTGAAGTCTTTAAACCACAAGTTGAGGACTTCAATAGCTCAGACACAGGTCAGGGGGTTGTTACAGGAGTGGGTGGGGGAGATTCTGTGGCCTGCGTTGTGCAGGAGGTCAGACTAGAAGATCATAATGGTCCCTTCTGACCTTAAAGTCTATGAGTCTATGAGAGAAGCAGGCACCGCCATTCCTCATGGAGGAGGACATTTGAGCATTATAATTAAAAGCCAGGAAGTAGGTCAGGGGGTCTCTGGCAGGGAGTCGCAGGGTTTGTCAGAGGCCGCAGGTTCGTACCCAGCCCGGCTCACTCGTGACTAGAAGTCGTGACCATCTGGCGGCTGATATGACACCAGTTGGCGTCGGCGCCTAGTCCTGAGGGAGGGCGGAGTGTGCAGCTCCAGGAAGAGGGAGCGCTGGGGAACGGCGCGACGGGGGTTAACTACGCAGGGTCACACGCCGCTGTTACGTCTCCTGGGTCAACGGAGCCCAGCCCAGGACCAGCCCCAGACAAGCACCGGATACAGCCTGCTCCAAAGTCAAGAGGAGACTTTCTGGTACCGGCAAAGAATCAACAGCTTCCGCACCTGTCTCCTGCCCATCCCCCTGCCCCAGTTAGCTAACGAACGAGAGCAGGACCACAGCCTGTGGAGGCACAACACAGGCCCTGACCTGGGTCCTAGGGCAGCCGTGGGGCTAAAGTCTTGCTCCGTGGTACTCTCCCAAGTAACCCAAACAGAGCAGACCCGCAGATGCCCTGATGATTGCAGGAGACCTGCCAGCCGCCAGGCCCCCTCTCCCACGAGGGGAAGATCCCTGTGCGCTGCAGACCCTCCTTACCCTGAGGATGTGAGAATCAAACGGAGCTGTACCAGCAGCCCAGCCCACACACAAGCTGCCAAGCACTCCCAGCGAGGGAGTTAACGGCTCTCCGAGTGCTCCTGGTACAGCACACCCAGGGGAGTCGTGCCTGGCAGCCATCTGCGGAAAGCACACGCATTCAGGCCAGGAATTCCCCGTGCATGTGTCCAGCAGGGAGAGCAGACTAGGGGCAGAAAAGCAGACGTTTCTACTAGGCTGTCTATCCCCTGGGAAGAACCGGAACTGAATCTTTGTGCCCACCCGGAATGGACCCGGGGTGCAGCCCCCGCCCCCCAGGAAGAGATCTAGGAATGGAGTCTACCTCGGGCATGAATCTTCATCGGTGTGCATGTGCACACGGGTGTGTACACATG